GAAGATAACAAACAAACCTTGGTTTTTACAAATATAATCTGTGCTTATTATTAATATTATCTATTAATATATTGTTACATGATCATCTAGATCTTATATACATCGGAATTAATGAGAGTGAATATAACAAACAAGCCTTGGTTTTTACAAGTACAATCTGTGCTTACTATTAATACTATTTATTAATATATTGTTACACGATCATCTAGATCTTATATACATCGGAATTAATGAGAGTGAATATAACAAACAAGCCTTGGTTTTTACAAGTATAATCTATGCTTATTATTAATATTATTTATTAATATATTGTTACGCAATCATCTAGATCTTATATACATCGGAATTAATGAGAGTGAATATAACAAACAAACCTTGGTTTTTACAAGTACAATCTGTGCTTATTATTAATATTATTTATTAAATATGTAAATAAAAATCCTTCTGAATCGTTATACTTAATGAATGTCTTATCAATTATTTGTAGTTATATAGCAGTTGATTGAAGTGTTAAAAGCAAGATCTATGAAGCTTGTAAAGTGATATATATATATATGTATGTATGTATGTATGTATGTATAATTAAAACCGTTAATAATCATTAATGAAACTTTAATCAAAAATCAACAAATCTTTCTTTAAGTTAACTGGCATTTTGTTAATAGAAAGAAGTCCATTATATGAATTCATTTTTGTTTGAAAATATTAAATAAATATCACTGAGTTAATAAATTTGCTTGATACAACTTTCTAATTCACCCAGTGATATATATATTATAAAAAAAAATTAATACTTTTCTATAAACAAATTCCAAAATAAAATATTTAAAGCTTGGAAATTAGAACTTACTATTGCATTAATTATTATTATGTAAAAAAAAATGAAGTCGAAAGATTGAATTGTGCATATCCAAATTTCTTATAGAACTTATAGGGCTGGTAGACCAACTTCACATTAAGATTTTCTTCGAGTCTTATTTGTTTACCCTGGCAAAAAGTATGTCAAAATAAAGGTTTTTCCATATATTTCGATTTTTTAGGAACAATCTTGGTTAAATCGGGTAGGTTTGTGTATACCAGAGTGATTTTTTTCTTCGATTTTACATATAAAATTATGCACGAAGATCATTAATTTTATATATGAGTGACACTTGACCCCCTGTAAATCCGCAATGTCCTGCGACTGTTATTGCTACATATGTAAACTCGATAAGTCGGTCATATGAGCTCACCCCTACATGGCCGACTTATCGAGTTTACATATGTAACCGTTTGGGTCATGTGATTTTATAGTGTTGTGACACTAAAAATAGTGCGTCATTAATTTGAGATGATCAACAAGTGGAAATTTTTTAAATTAGCAGTATGTAATAATGAACGTCCATAATTTATTTGAAAATTTTTTTTAAATTTTCATAATTACTTATTTCCGTGAATATGAAATACAGGCAACTTTTTCTTACAAAAAGGCAGTGATTTCAATTTACTCCGATCAATAATTAAATTCACAAATAAAATTCATCACAAATAAAACCTTATCTTTACAAATAAAACCCCATCTTTACAAAGAAATCATGAAGTTTATTTTTGCTTTCCTTTTATTGGCTACGCTCTCTATGGTGTCAATGCTATTCTACATCAACTTCTTAAAAGAACTACTACCTTTAATCAATGTGAAAAAACACACCCTCAACTCACTGTCATACTTTCACCTGATCCTGTCGTTCCTGGAGAAACTGATACTTTTACTATTTCTGATCCTGTAGCTAAGGCTCCCATAGGTAATCCAACTACTGCGCCAGCCGACCTTAAAACACCATTTTCTCAAGTATTGAATGTTAATGTGCCAGCAACATTACCTAATCCATACGGTATTATAGCTGCTGTTGGGACTCAAGATACACATGAAATTATAGGCTGTGAATTTAATATTGTTGGTTCTGCTAAATCTGCATGCAGATATCGACTATTATCCCATCCCATTATTATGAATTATAATAAAAATCAAAATAGAATAATTTAATTGTCAGTTATTATTATTTATTAAACAACGTTCTTATAATGAATTCTATTTATTATTTAATATTGTCATTAATTCTTATATTTACATGTTGCTTTAAATAAAAACAAATTCAAATTTATGAATTTCCGAAATTTTTATCCACTAGTACTAAAACACCTAGATAAAATATGGCAGTATTCTTTGACGAAACCACGCCAAAACGAATGCAAAAAACAATCTCGATAGTATTCTGACCAATATCTAGATTGGCAACATCACCTATTGTTACATTGCAGATTTCTTTGTCTATGACCAACTATGTTTGTTATATTCAAAATTTTGATATTGATTATATTGGCTTAATTTTTGATTTAAAATAGTGTTGGTCACCAATAAAGTTGGTGTCTGTAACTGTTTTCACATTGTCAGGGGCGACTAGAAAAGGACAAGGTACAGGAAATTGTGGTTAATGCCTGTCCCTAGTCCTTTTCAATATTTGTATACGAAATTTAGAAATGGAAGATGCGGGACAGGTAGTTTATGATAAAACATAAAAAAGGACAGGTTGTCCCCGTCCTTTTCCACTTAAAATCCTTTATTTATTATATTGTAAAATGCGCAATATAAAATGTTTATTTATTATCATAAAAAACACATAAAAAGATTTATTTCTTTATATTATTTTTTGACTTGATCTGCTTGCTACAACGAACTTCTTGTTCATTAATTATGTTAACACTAATACAAAAAAAAAATGCGATGAAAATTTTTTTACATATAAACAAGGAAATTTGCCCCGATCTGCAATATGTATTTTCTTATATACCATTTCTGGCGAATTGCGAATTAAGTAATGATGAAAATGAAATTCTGATTGGCTAATTTTTGAATTTCACGCATGTGAATCAAATTCACGCACAAGTAATGAAATTATCATCCTACATAATAAAATATTTTTGGAAACAGATTTTTTACTTTCGTTAGGCGTTTGATTCAAAGAACTTTAGTTACTTTGATTCTTTGTAGATCAAATCAAAATGGAATAATAGTATTGAAACTTTCTTTATGATTCAATTAAATAAATGTCAGTTGCTTTTTTTAAAATATATAAAGTGTAAACTAACATTGTTACAATTTTACAAATTTTGTAAAATTTGTTTAGTTTAGAGCTAAGAAAATTCAGGATTTAATTTTTATTATTATTCGTTTGAAATAGAGTTGTTAGTCGAAACGTTTCGTCATTCAACATTTGGCATGTCGAAGGTCTAAATTGATGTCGAAAGACTAATTGATGTCGAAAGACTAAATTGATGCCGAAAGTCTAAATCGATGTTGAAAGTCTAAATTGATGTCGAAAGCCTAAATAATGTCAAAATGCCTAAATGTTATTGAAACAAAATGCCTGAATGTTGTCAAAATTATAAAATATCTAAAACTGTTATTTACCATCTTCTCTTTGTAAATAATCTAAATAATCTTGTGATCCTAATACCTCTTCCATTATGAAATGTACATACTAAAAAATTCTTTAATTAAAATAATTATGGATGTCCAAAATGATTACAAATATCCAAAATATTTGAAATAGTTACAAAGTAAATTGTATATATTCAAATTAAATATTTAATTTTTGAGTATGTTTGTATGGTTTAAAAACGATAATTGTTGCCCAGACCCAGATTTCGAAGAGTTTAATGTAGGATATTGATTCAATTGCCACCAGTATCAAGTCTGCAAGTTTACAGATTATCTGTATGGAAATTGTTTCATATTACAGCATTTGCAAGATGTTATAGCAATATCGCAGAAAAAGCGTGGTGGTGGTCCATTTAAGTTAGCGTTGGTTTTCAAAACGAGAGTTTTTCAACTGTGCGAAAGTCAAAAGGTTTTGCCACAAGTCGAACTTAGTTTTGACTTGTGACTTTTGATTTAATTTTGACATAACTTTCAATTTTAGTTTGAGTTTTGGCGACCAACAATATTTTAAATTGAAAATTAGGCCAATATAATCAACATCAAAATTAGAATATAACAAACATAGTTGGTCATATATTTACTGTAAATAATAAATTAATTGACAAAGAAATCTGCAATGGAACAATAGATGATGTTGCCAACCTAGATATTAGTCAGAATACTTGTCGGGATTGTTTTTTGCATTTGTTGTAGCGTGGTTGTGTCAAAGAATACTGCCATATTTTATCTAGATGTTTTAATACTAGTGAATAAAAATTTCGGAAATTCATAAATTTGAATTTGTTTTTATTTAAAGCAACATGTAAATATAAAAATTAATGACAATATTAAATAATATAACATAAATAACGTGTTATAAGTAGGTATAAGTGAAAAATGGATGAGGATTGCATAAATGAGTTTACATGAGGGATAATATTAATTATTCTTTCACTCAAACAAATAATTATTCACAACACTATTTTGAATCTATTCATTCTTTTTATTCATCAATCATATGTAATGATTTTACGTAGAACCAATTTCTTAATAAACGTCCTTGTCTTGGGGCAATTCTCGTTAATTTAAAAAAGAGACTCGTTGTTCATTAAACGCTGAATTATGTCAATCACCTCCATATGAAATTCAGTACATAATCTCCGAGGTAATGTCAATAGTGGATAATGAATTAAAATGGAGTTTCATACATCTGAAACTGAATTTGAGTTCGTAGTTTCGATTGGCCAATTTGAATTTCATGCACAAGTGTAACATGCTACATTCAAAAATTTCATACACCTGAAACTAGCATAATGGACACTCATTTTGTGCAGCAGTCATTTGTATAATATGCAGGTGGTTACACAGAGCCCGTTGCTTCTGAAACTTCACTAGAATATAGCTGTAGCCTCTCTAAGTCCAGATCATCAGCAAGATCAAAATTATCTCACATTTTTATAATCAAACTTTTGCAAGAACTTTCACTATAACATATGTTATGTTGATCATTTTTTTGTGATCTGCAACAGTGTCCACTATGCTTCTGAAACTTAATTTGGATACAAAATTCTGATTGGCTGATTGAATTTCATGCAAGTGAATCAAATTCACGCACATTCAATTTTGGGATTTCTCAAAGCATCAAAGAACCGTAATTTACAATAGTAAATTTAAATGAAGTAATTATGTAATTAATGTCCATAATTTACATGCAAATTTATTTTTTAAATTTCACAATTACTTATTTTCGTGAATATGAAATACAATTGGTCTGGGTAACTTTGTTTCTTATAAAAAGGCAGTGATTTCAATTTACTCTGACCAATAATTAAATTCACAAATAAAATCAAAATTCTACTTTCATAAATAAAACTTTTCACAAATAAAACCCTATCTTTACAAAGAAATCATGAAGTTTATTTTTGCTTTCCTTTTATTGGCTACGCTCTCCATGGTGGTAAATGCTATTCCACGTCAACTTCTTAAAAGAAATACTGCCTTTGATCTTTGATGTCCTAGTTCAGGTCCTGGAGTACCACCACCACCTCAACTCCTTGTTTTACTTTCACCTGATCCTGTCATTCCTGGACAAACTGATGAATTTAGTATTTCTGGAACACTAAGTCGTGCTGTCATCGATGGCGACATTACCGGTGTTGCATTTTTTGATCCTAAAACTGGGGATACCATAGGTGATCCAAGTTCTGCGCCAACCGACCCTAAAACACCATTTTCTCAAGTATTGAATGTTAATGTGCCAGCAACATTACCTAATCCATACGGTATTTCAGCTGCTGTTCAAAATCAAGACACACAGGAAATTATAGGCTGTTCATTAACTATTGTTGGTGGTTCTGCTGAATCTGCAGATCTTGAATATTATCCCATCCCATTATTGTAGAAATAATAAAAATCAAAATAGAATAATTTAATTGTTAGTTATTATTATTTATTAAACAACGTTCTTATAACGGATTCTATTAATTTAACAGTTGGTGATCATTTCGTATCTGCTGCAATTACATAAGTGTAACGTTACGAAAGAATTCAAATTCAAATTTTCTCTTCAAATATAACTTTTAATTTTTATGATTAATATTTTTTATTCCCATAACAAATCTTCTTGAAATTTCAAGGAATATAAATATATGCAATTTATTATCCTATATCTTATATTTACAAACTTATACTTAAGCAAATACAACACATTTTGAGAAGGTAATTCTGAGATTATTCTTTGAATAACAAAATTATAAGGTTTTTTATACAACAATAGGATTTTACTTGTTTGTATCAACAACATTCATTATCAATAGAAAAGTTATTTCATTCGAAAAATTTCAAGTTTACTTTGAACCAATGTATTTTTATTAAATGCATATATAATAAAAGATATTTATTTATTTTTTCTTTTTCTATGTTGATATATGTCAGTAATAATGAATTACTTATAATATTAATTTGTGATAATGAATGCAGAAGGTATTCAGTGTTTTGATGGTAAAACAGAAAATAACTTCACCCTCCATGCACATCTCTTAAGTTTTTCTGGTGATCTTCCAGCTCTTGCTAAGGTTATGTACACAACTGGGCACAACTCATATAAAGCATGCTGTTTTTGTTCCATTCGTGGAGTATATTGTAAAGGCAATCAACATGTATACTTTCCACTTAAGCCTCCAACCAGTATGTTAGGAAACCAATATGATCCCAAAAATCTTCCATTACGAATGCATAAAGACTATATATGTGATGCAACAGCTGTAGAATGTATGAATGGGCCATTACACAAGCGTGAAGTACAAGAATGAGGTATGTCATTCATTGGTTTTGAATGTTTGGTGAATATTCCAAAATAATTAAGAAAATTTTCATAGGTCTGAATGGCCAAAGCATATTGTTTGAACTCAAGTCAATTGAATTTCCAGCATCATTTCCTGTTGACATTATGCATGGATTATTTGAGAATATTGCACCATCAATGCTTCAGCATTGGTCTGGTACTTTTTTTAAAGATGATCAAAGTTCTGGTTCTGATTACATCCTTTCTAATAGTGATTGGATAGAAATAGGAAGAATAATGGAAAAAGAATCGAAGGAACATGCCATTAGATTTTGGTCATCCACCCATTGATATTCAGCGACATTTAGCAGCACTCAAAGCAGAAGACTGGTTAAATTGGGTGGTATTATATTCACTGCCACTTTTACAAGGCCATCTTCCAGAAAGGTAGACAGACTTGTAAATAATAATTTTTTTGAGGTTAGATCTTTAATGATTTTGGTTTTATTCAGGCATTTAAATGGATGGGCAAAATTTGTGCATGCAACAAAGCTCTGCCTCAAACAAAGTATCAGCACAGCAGAATTATCAGAAATTAATAGTCTCTTTTGTGGGTTTGTTGTTCATTATGAGAAGTATGTTTCTATGCTGCTAATTCATGTTGCAATCTTGTTGAAGGAATTGTAACAAAGTATAAATAAGTTGTGTGTTTTTTTGAAGGTATTTTGGGCATGTTTTTAATAAATTTTTAAAGAAAAAAAAATGATTTGAAGTGAAAGAGAGAGAGAGCATTTTTATAACAAATTATTTTAATTTAATAAACCTGGTTTTTTTAATTTTTTCTTTAGCTTATCCAACACTTTTGTGGCATCAGATTTGTTTATCAGTTCATCAAACAAAGATTTTTCATTGCTCAATTTTAGTGACACGCAAACTTTATTCCTTCAATGACGAGATGAAAGATAAGAAACAAGTTTTTATGTGTCACCGCTAATAATAGTTACTATTACGCTCACAATGTCAGAATGACTTGGTGCCTGCATTGGGGCTTTTGTTATTTATGAAATTCCAATTGTAATAAAAACAAGTTTTTACGTGTCGTCATGCTCACAAGGATAGGTTCGTTTTACAATCCAAGTTTTTATCTTTTCACATGAATTTCCAATTGTATTCTAAGCTCAATTTTAGTGACCCCAAACTTTCTTTAATAAGCTTACGTAAAAAATTGGTTATATATATAGAAAATCTTATTATTTAATATATCAGTCAGACAGGATTTCACGCGATCGACATGTCTACTGTCATAGCTATGTAAAATTTTTGTGAAACATGTCAAT